AGAGACAGAGAACAGACTGAACACAGATAAGTCAACTGACAGAAGAGATAATATCTCACTGTAAGATACAGTAACTATCACTGCAGCTGCAAGAGAAGCAGAAGAATAAGAAGAAGATGTGACAATAAGAGCAGTGCTCTCACAGTCTGTTAACACTGCTGTCTTCATCTTCAACCAGACTTTCTTAGCAGTCACAGAGATCACAGCCACATTATGAAGACATTTAATCACTAAAGAGTGTCAGAATAAGCCTCTTATTATCTTTCAAGAATGATACTCTCATACACTCACTATTGCAAATTAAGAAAGGGAAGAAAAATGTGTTATGAGAGAGAAAGATCTTTTAAAAAAATTCTATCACTACTGTTAACTTTGTCTCTAAAATACATCACTTTTGTAGAGAATTTTATATACAGAATGAAATATAATAAGAGATCTGCAAGTCACTTATTAACTACATTTTTCACATTTTAAATTAATATATAAGAAACTCACTTATTATACAGTTGATTTGAACAGAGATGAGAATAGAAGATTTATACAGTCAGCAGAGAAACTCATCTATTTCTTTGTATTATACACAGCATATATACTATTAAAATTGATTAGTAACTGCTGCTATATAACAAAGATAATTTCCAAACTGATAATCTTAAGAGTATTGAGACTATATTCTTAAAGAAGAGAGTATTATCATATTCTCAGCTGTGTTAAAACTCTGTTACAGTTTCATACAGCTTATCACTTTCTTATGAATGATTTTATTCATTTTGTAGACTGCTTGAACTGGTTTTCAATCACTCTATAATATTATTCAGATATATTATAGAAAGATCTAATTAATAAATATGAGAATATCACTTCTATATAAGATTAGCAGATTACTCTTTCTTGATAGTAAGACACTACTGAGATATCACTTCAGCTATTCTCACTCATGAAATGAGAAAAGAGTATCTGCTCATTATCTATATAGAATAGCTAGATACTGACTTCTTATCAAAGAAGTCAGTGATTCATTTTTCTTCTACTGAAAGATATACAAGAGTTACTGCATTTCTTATACAATCTTCTTAGTATACTAAGTATTATATCTGTGATATTCTCATAATAACTCTGTAGTCTACAAGCTCACTATTCAAGTAAGATAGTCAAGCTCACTTATACAGCTTCTTAAACAACTACTTCTACATGACACTGCTGACTAGTCACTGCTTCGGTTCCGCCACATTACAACAACAAAGAGAATTTCTAATCTAGTAATCTTAAGAGCATAGAGACTATACTTTTAAAGAAGAGAGTATTATTACATCTCTAACTACACTGAGATCTTATTACAGTTTTATATAACTCATTACTTTCATACAGATAATTTCATTTATTTCATAGATTATTCAAATCAGTTTTCAACCACTCTATGACATTATTCAAATATAATATAGAAAGATCTGATTGATGAATATAAGAATTCTACTTCTATATAAGATTAGCAGATTACTCTTTTATAATAGTGAGATATCACTGAGGTATCACTCTGACTATTCTCACTCATGAAATAAGAGAAGAGTATCTGCTCATTATCTATATAGAATAGCTAGATACTAGGTCTTAATTAAAGAGATCAGTGATTCATTTTCTCTAACTAGAATATATACAAGAGTTACTGCATTTCTCATACAATCTTCTTAGTATACTAAGTACTATATCAGTGATATTCTTATAATAACTCTGTAGCTCATGAGCTTGCTATTCAAGCAAGATAGTCAAGCTCACTCATACAGCTTCTCAAATAACTATCTCTATGTGACGCCGCTGACTAGTCACTGCTTCAGTTCCGCCACGTTACATTAGTTTACTCTTAACATGTTTATCTTTATCTCATCAATCATCTTCTACAGATTCTTCTAGAATGAATAACACATCTTATCAATCATCTTTCACAGATTCTTCAAGAATGAACAATATATTAAAAGCCTGTATTCACTGCTTATAAAACCAGTCTCTTGATTAATTTATTTCTTTAAAGTATTTTACTACTTCTACAGCTGTCTGTCTTCAATACTACACTCAGAAAACTCAGATATTATAATTTTCTCATATTACTTTTTTCTATCACTGATTATCTTTTTACATTGTGCAAAACTGTAAATAAATATATGAAATAAAATCAAATTCTTTTATAGTATTTAGTGCAAGAGGCCTACACTGAATAGATTGATATAATATATAGATCTTATAATATAAAAGTGAAAAACATTAAAGAAGGAAAAGAAAGAGAAAGTACAAGAATCAGCAATTGAAGTAAATATTTATACACATACACAGTGATGTACACAGTGAAGCTTCAGAGTAAAAGAATAGAAATTTCATGAGTTTTTCAGTCAAGAATCAGTGATTAGAAATAACTGAGAATCAGAGCTTTCAGTGAAATCTATAAAGTGTAATGAAATAGTCTACATAATTGATCAAGTGCAGTCTGTCACATTAGCCCTCTTCTTCTCTAATTATACATAGCTCTCATCAGTTAAGAACTGTGATCTCAGATAATATGAAACTCAGAGTTCAGATCAGACAATTATAGTTAACTTATTTTATAAGATATTATCAGCTGCAGCTGTGAGATCTCTTATTGAGAATATTCTTAATCTTTTACTCAAGTTCATTATCTTCTTCTATGATCTCTGACAGCTGTCAGTTAGAAGTCAGTTAAGAAGAGAATGAGTCAGTGATAGTATAGCAGAGCAAGCTTATATAAAACATATTATAAATCTCTGATAAAGTATTAAAACAGTAGTTATAGCTGTCTAGAACTTCTATCACTATATATTTCATATAATGATAATTCAATGTACAGAATGAGTATATAATCTGTATATTTTTAATATTCAATTATATAAGATCTTCTATCATATACTGCTTTGTAAAATCTTATCAGATATTAGCTTGATCTTCTTGATCTTATTTCACAGTTGTCATGAAGATCTCTGCTCAGTCACAGACATCTCAGAACTTTATTACTATATTATTAATAATCTGAATTGAACTGCAAAGATTCAGTGTGAAATGTGTGATCTCTGGAAGATTCAATACTTTTATATGAAATCTGTGTATAAGAAAGAACAGACTTATATCTATTAAAATAACATCTCAGTCATTGATAGTAACTTCAGCATGTAGAAGAAGATTATATCAGTTATCTTATAAATAATTACAGAACTTATAAAGATAATTCTTCACTATCTGAATTATTTACTCTGATATATCATCAGTCTCAAAGTGATAGATAGTTAATAAATAATATATAATCTTAAGAACTTGATAGATTCTTATTCAGAGAATGCTTATGAAATAACAGTCTTAATCTGATACTATAGATCTCAGTAATTCATATATCTGATAGAATAAACTCTGTAGAAAGACTTCAGTAACTTATTCAGTATTTATCTTATTATAAGATTTTAATATTACATCTTTACTCAGTCAGTCAATAATAATCAGAATATTCTTATAATTCTTACTCTTAGAGAGATTAACAGTAAAGTCAATTATCACATCTTATCAGATTCTATCAGAGACATTGAGTAATTTCAGTAGATCTTTTCTACAATCTTTTTATAAGATAATGAAAGAGTAGTGATTGCAGTTTCAAATAAAATATCTGATACTATTTAATATCTCAGATCAGTAGAACTCTTGAGAGATTATTTAATACAGTTATTCACAGTCTGAATAACTAATTATACACAAATCATGCATCTCTTATATTATTCAGATGTATAAGAGTTTAGAGTAAGAGACTTAATATTATTTACAGAATTATAAAGTATTATTATCATTAATTAAACAGTCTGAGATATTAGTCTTTATATATAGTTCTGAAGAGAATTAAGACACTTCTTATTATACTGCTTCAGTGAGAGTCTGAAGAAGTTCATCAGCTCAGACTGTTATATATTACAGTTTATTCAGTGTAGAAGAAGTTAAGATATCAGTATCAGTATCAGTGACAGTTCAGAGAGAGAGTGTTCTAATTGAAGAAGTATATATAGTGTTATAAGTTATTCTATCTTGATCAACTAATATCTTTAGATCTAAGAGTCAGTGTTCTTAGTTCATTCAACAGATATCTGTTATATTAAAAGATATATCTTACTCTTATTATAAGAGAGTATCTGTTATTAAGTTCTGACTACTGAGATGATAGTGTATAGTAAAATGAAAATAACTTAATAGCTCAGATCATCACATCTGATGTTCAGTAAGCTTATAAATAATTATAATGTGATTCAAAGGTTGCTTGAGCCAGCGTATGATTACAGGCGTATGCCGGCTTCTTATATATCGTACGCTAAATTAATTGGTGGCCGCTATGGCCTCTTTACATTCATAAGCAAGTTCAGGAGCGGCCGCGTTATTATTCAACAGTCATACATTCTTCTGAACCACATCCTCTCTCACCAGATTCAGTCACACTCACATGATCATGTCATATGTCCTAGCTTTATACAGATTAGTGCATACTAGTTTTCACAATTATGTAATCTATTTCTGATTCAGCTAGTATTCTGCATACATTCTCATTAAGAAACTTTCACTATATTACATCACTTATTCACTAACTTTTCTCATTCTTCAATCATTTTCTTTATCATTGTCATTATAAACACTACTATCTCATTCAAGATTCCTGCTTCTTCTCTTATTCAACATCTTCTATCTGTTATTTATCTATCACATTGTATGTGTTTCTGATGATGACTTCTCATTCTCATAACAAGTGTTCTTGTAGTGCTCATATCAGGCAGTTCATTAGCAGTAAGTGTAACACATTGTGAAACATGATCAGAACTTATTTATCTTCTAATAATTGTCAGAATGTACTATTATGAATAACACATCTTCTTCATCTTCTTATACACTCTCAATCTTCTTTTTCTAGCAGGCATCTGATTATGTTTTGCATGAATACAGATACTGATATTTTGTTTTAATTTGCATAGAATCTTCACATATTGACAGATTCATATCTGTTGATGATAATGAACATCTCAATATTGAATCATTAATCAAAAACTTGAAGAATGTGATAATGAAGAAATTATTCATATCATGTATAGCTGAGTCTCTCATATCTCTCTCTGCTCTCTCTATTTCTTTCTCTGTTACTTCTCTTCAATCTCTTATATCTATCTCTGTGTCTGATTCTCTCTCTTCTGTTATTCCTGTTTCTGTGACTCTCACTCTCACTACTTCTACTCTCTCTGCTTCTGCTGTCTCTGCTTTTATTATCAGCTCTCCCTGTTTCAAGAAGATGTTATGTAAACTTAATGAATCACATCTATCAGTATATATACTCTCACCCTTCTTACTAATCTCTAGAACAATTTATTGTATAAAGACTGTGTACAATATAACTGTCTGAAGCTCAGTCACAGATGCTGATTATTATATTTATTTTAAATATTCATGATGAGATAATTATTCATTTATATCAGAGAATCACTTTCTTTCTCAACAGTGTTAAGATTGTAAGTCTTTCTTTTTTTCTCTTCTCTTTCTGATACTGATTTTTCTGTTCTTAGAGAAAATTATTATGAGTTTTATTATACATGAAGTCATGATATTCACAGATATTAAGAAACTTTTTATAACTATTAAATTCAATATTACAGATATATTCACTCTGATGAATACTTTTAGAATAATTAATCTGTATCAGTCTATTCTCTGATGTTTGTCATCTGACTTTATAATACAGGTGAAGAATATCTGTGTTTTCAGAAACAGAAATGCAGATATCATACTCTTTTATACTCATAGATATGAGACTTATATGTCTTGTCTGAGATGTTATTATAGAAATAAGTCATTCATACACTGTATTCTGCTTTCTGCATTTCTCTGTGTCTCTCTCTCTCTTTCTGAGAAGTCTTGTGCATGTTGTAATTACATGTACAATTCTAAGATCAGTAAGTATTTATTCAGTAATTATTATTTCTGCTTTTTATAGTTTTATATACTAATAATAGTTCTTAGTTGCTTCAGCATCAGAGATCATTTTAATCAAAGATAATAACACTGTCAAGACTACTTTCTTCTGTCTTCAAGCTTCTCTCAGTGCTTTCTCTCCCTTCTCTGTGAGAAAGATTGTGTATATACTGAGTCATAAGTGTTCAGCTCTGAATAACTCTCACTGTCATTTATTTAATTCTGTGTCTTCTTCTTCTTTCATTTCTTCTGTCTCTGTCTTCTCTGTTCTGACTTCTGATTCTGCAGATTCTGTGCTCTTCTTTAATTTTTCTACACACATGTATACACATTTCTATATTAACATTTCAGTCAATCTTGTGATAAATAATATTAATGTTGTACACAGAGCAGTAGAGAAATCAGAGACATATACAGCATTGTTATGAGAGTGACTTACAGCTCTCAAATCTTTTATGAATCTTGAGTTTTGAGATTTCCTTATTTTTTTTTTTTTTGATGTTTTTCAGATAATGTGACATTGAAAATGAATTAACATGTAATGTATGAAAATGAATAAAGTATGTATGATAACATTTGTCTTTTTACAGTTAATTCTTACAGTTGATAATCAATTCATTATTTCTTTTCTTTCTTACACTTTTTCTTTATCTGTTAGTCACTACTCTTACATGATCTCTATATAATATAGTGTTCAGTGACTAGGTTCAGCAGCTTTCATCTTTTGTGATTCTGTCTCATGCATTATACTGTCTCTCTTCACCTGCTCAGATCACTACAGTAAACAGCTTATTGAAACTAATCTCATCTGATCTCTGAGTATTTTCAGGAATTAAGATGGCTTGATCTCATGCATCTGTGAATGTTTCAGATGCTTCATTCTCTGTTATCTTTATAATTGAACTGATGTAAATAGTTAAATTTAACTCTGAATTTCTTTTTCTTCTGCAATCTGATTCATATGTAAGTCTGTCACTTTAAGACTGCTCTTTGTTATGTTGTGTCTACTGTCTGCAGTATATTATTGTACAATCAGCTACAGTCTCATCACTTATTAAAGTGTGATATTTATCTGATTTCTTCATTTCTTCTCATTCTTTTCTTATAATTATGAAAAGATTGAAATAAGTAAGATCATCTGATTCATAAGTATCTATGATTTCTCTTACTTCATGAGACTTTTCAATTATAAGTCTGTTCTTCTTCAATGCTGATAAGAGTGCTGTAGATAATTATAATCTACTCAGATCTTATATCTTTATCTTTACAAGATATAAATCATTTATTAAATTGTATAAGATTCATCTCTCTGATTCTTTCAATGTGTATATTCTCAGAGAATATAATTTAAGTATTTTATAGAGTATAAATCATCTAGATTGAAACTTCTCAGAGCTCTCATTATATATAAGAACTCACATTCTTATCTTGAGACTTGATTTCTTAACTAGTGAGTCTCATATTCTTTTTGATTGAATTGCTCAGTTCAGAAGTAACTCATTAGCTTTTATATATGCATAGCTGATCTCTTTCAATCTTGATTTCATATCTGCAACTGTTACATCTGCAACTACTACTGCTGCATTCATAACTACTGTTTTCTTTCCCATCTTTTCTGAAGTATTCTTCAGAATGTGTGAATGCAATTTATACAACAGATAGAATAATGAACACTTAAAGACTGTATACTATCAAATTCGCATGACTAATAGTGCCTGATCAAGATATTCATCTCATAATCTTATAGACTTACTCACTAGATATTTCATCAGCATGTTATCTAAGATTTTATTTAAGTGTTTCACTTTTCTGTTTATCTGTAAGTGATATAATGTTGTTCTATAATATCTTATCTGTAACTGATTCATGAAATGTTTCACTGCTTCTTCTATAAGATTCATATTATTATCAGTTAGAATCTCACACAGTATTTCATAGTTAATATAGATCTCATTATGTAGAAACTTCATCACTATCTTCTCTCTCATCTCTGAAACTGCTTTTATAACTGATCAGTCAGTAGTGTAATCAATAGCAGTGATTATTTATCAATTTTCATTTGACATCTGTGATAGTATGTCTATAAGGTTCATCTCTCATTATTTAAATGATTGTATCATACACTTCATCTGATGTTGCACTTTCTCACATTTTAATCCTTTCTTAGATTCTTTCACAACCTGATAATTCAGACACTTATAAGTGTATATCTGAATATTCTCAGTCATGCTTAGTCAGTATACTCTTGATTCAAGTACACTCATAAGTTCAGAGCTTTCTAAGTGACTGAATTCCTTATGTATATAAGTCACTAAGTCATATCTAAATAAATATTCTAGATAGAGAGCTTTCATATATTCTAGATTGTGATAAAACATAACATTATTTTTCAATTTTCTCAGCTTGAAGTTCAGAAGCATCTCTTCTACTACTTTTATAAGACACTTATTATCTGATATCTTACTATTCTTTAAGTAAGAGATTATTGTATTCACTCATTCTGATTTCTTGTATTCTCTCAGTATATTTAACATGAACTTCTCTTATATCTGATTCATAGAACTCTCACTCATGAAATCAGATCTGTAACTGATTGTATCAGATATTATAGTATCTAATCTCTTTCAGTATTTGATATTAAGATTGTACACTTAGAACTCTGAGATTCAATATACTAAGTGTTTAAAAGGTTTCATTGTTAATTATAGATAGATAAGACTTTTATAATCTGTAATCACTGTTATTGTATATCTGTTATCAATATATTTATTTCATAATATCAGTATGTACTTAATCACTAGTAATTTCTTTTCATACACTGAGTAATTGAGCTCAGTGTCTGATAGTTTTCTATCATTGTACATTACTGAGTGCAGCTTGCTGTTCTTGCTCATCTGTAGAAGAGTGTCTTCAATAGCTCATTCAAATGTGTCTGTCTCAATGTAAAAAGATTCAAAGACTCAAGAATCAGACCACTGCTCCACCACGAACTCGCTCGATTTTTCGAATAAGAACCCGCCGATAGATCCATCGAGAAGCCCTCGATCATATGAGCATTTTGACCCCATCGCTGACCACATACCCCGTGTGGTGGTGGAGTTATCCAGCCAAACATGAACCAGACATTGTTCGAAACTCCTGTGTGGGATTATCCCCTGTTCTCCCCTATCACACCACAACCCCGGGCCAAATTGCCATACAAATTGTAAGGTGAAGAGACCTAGCCATATGCACCAATCTTCTTGATTTTGGAAGATCTCTGATCTGTAGTTGTGGAGATATCTGAGAAGCGACCTCCGCGAAAACCCTGTCCATCTTTGATGTTCTAAAACACCAACATCAAGTCTCACCCTCATACCGTCCTTTCTAATCTGGCCCATCCCCAGCAGAAAAATATAAAAAGATATCTTGATGATAATATCAAGTACATAATCAACAGCCACTTCTGAAGTGCAATCTTCACAGTCTGTCTTCAGTGTATCTAGACATCAATGCCAAGTCTCACCCTTGTACCACCCCTCTCAATCTGGCCTGTCCCCGGCAGAAAAGTACAAAAAGATACCTCAGCAACTGTATTTAATACATAATCAGCAGATACAACAACTATAAAATCAGTATATCTCAAGATCTGACTGAGCCTTTGATCCCTGCACAGTGAGATATATTAAATCTAGTTTTAATATCTCAATATTCAATAGATTCTGCAAGAGATTGAGAACAGCAATACTAGATTTCTATTGAATTTAAGAATTAACTCTATATTAATATAATCATTGACAAAGTCTTCTATTTTAAGATATAAATAACCAGTTTCTCTACATCTCACTGACAATATTTATATTATTATATAGAAACAGACTTATATTCTCTATAATATCAAGACTCTGAAGAGAGAATGTCTTGATAGAGAGTATATAGTAGTATATATCTTAGCAGTTTCTATCTCATTCTTCTGCAGCAGTTAATGCAAAAAAAAAAAAGATCTTAGAAATAGTTTTTTACTTCTCTTAAAAAAGTAAGATATTTTTCTCTGAGTTTTATACAATATTCTTATAAAGAATTAAAAACAGAGCTGTTTTCTGTCATAATTTCATATTCTTTTAAGTAAGAATTACTTTTTCAGTAGCTGAAGAGCTTTCATTAATACTTAATTTCTTTTTACACTCTTTATTAACTGATTTGAGTTGTATACTTGTTGTGTGAGAAGAATTGAATAATTTAGAATAAAATTGAATAGTTTTAATCAATTTCTCTGTAAAAAATTGATTTATTTTTTATCAGTTTTTCTCTCAAAAACTGTCATATTATCTGATTTATTATCAATTGATATCATACTTTTTCTCACTGTATTCTAAGAAAGAGATTGTAAAGATTTTATTGATTTATCTTAAAAATCAATTTTAGTTTATTAGATTCTCTTTAAAAATCTAATCTAGTTACTGAACTAGTGTGAAAAAAATCAGGTATTTCATACATAAAAGTCTTTTATTCTTCTTTTGAAACAGTCTAATCAACTTTTTCAATTGAAAACAGACTTAAAAACCTCTTAATTGAAACAGTCTGACTAACTTTTTAAAAGAGTTCAATACATATCTCAATTGAAATAGTCTGATCAACTTTTCATTGAGTAAGAATAATGAGTTCAAAATTACACTCAGTTGATGTGAAAAAAGATGCTTTCTTAAATGCTATTTCTGAGATTGAAATTCTGAAGAGAAGAAAGAAAGAAGAAATAGAGAAATAACAAGTTCTTGAAATACAGAAACTTGAAAAAGCAAGTAAGATTCTTGAAAAACAGTATCTGAGTGAGATAAATAAAGAAGTTCTATTAATTCTTCATACTCAGACTAGA